AAACTAACTAGGGCGGAGCGGAAGTCCAAGAATGGTATAGACACCAGGCCTCGATGGGAAAGGTCGACTATGGGCCCTTCAACCTCATCGTCCACAGCGTTTGATGACTGACGACATTGCATGATACAAAAACTGACAGCGGAAAGCATGGGCGCGGTAATGCGAGCGTGGGAAAGTATGCACATGGTCAACTACATGTGACGGTGACAATATGGAAATTCTGATAAAATTTTAGAAAGTTCTCATTCGTTTCGATACATTCCCGCTCGAATTCGTATGTAAACCTATATAATTAGCGCGGAAAGCGACCATATATTCCAACACCGGCCAAGCCAGAACTCAACGCCCTCCTGCCTCGTGGATGAAACTAATTCGAAAATGCCTAATCTACACGATACTACTTGCATACTAGACCGTGGTTAATATGCTCACCACATGCTACCGTCGTTGAATGTGAAGCCGACCTCCACGAGGTATTTCATCCTCACTTGGCACGTACTATACACAATGTACTCGTTGTAAAGAAGCGACAACTGCTTCTCCTTCTCTCCCGATACTAGCTCGATCATCTTACCCAGAGGGACCTGAACCATGCTGCTGCTGATGATGATGCTTCATAACAGGTGTCAAGTCGCAGCCCCACCTTGAGGCCGTCCTTCATAACCAGCATCTCGTCCGGATCGGGGCCACTTCGACCAACGCCCTTGGTGGAATAGAATGCCTTCTTTCCCTTTCCAAGCTTCGAAGCTGCCCGCCCGTCTGCTTCGTTATATTCACGAGAGCGACCCAGGGCTACCTGATCCATAGAAATGAGAGTATTCCAAGACTGTATCGAAAATCAATTCTATGCATAATATACCCGCAGTAGGGCTCGAACCTGCGACCTCACAGTCGAGAGCCCTGCAATTTACCACTGAGTTGAACGTACTTATACGAGCAGATATAAAACCTCTATAGCCGATCTTACTTCACATAAAAGCATCAACCCTCTATTGTTCTTCTGCGTGGCGAAGCAGTAGTTGGCGCTCTTGCTAAAGGAGTCGGCAAAGTACAGGCCCTTGCCGAACATATAGCCCGTCACTGGCGCCTCAGGAGGTGCAATGCGGAGGCCACTGCTCAGGATACCACACCAATTGGTAAGCCGTGAACCATGCCACAGCAGCATACGGTCCTTCTTGGCCTCTTTGGGACAGTCTTTACTCCACTCACCCTCCTCACTCGCCTTGCAAGCTCTGAATATCGCCGATGGCTTAGCCGTGAAGTCGTTGTGTGTGGATGCATGAGTGTTGAGCATATACTTCTCTATCATTTTGAAATCTTCGTCCTCGGGCGTAAGAGGCTCCAGGTCGCAATGAAGCCTGAGTTAACACACTTCGAAAATTGAGTTCAAATTACTCATAGTTACCTTTGATACTGCATGTCAACTGGATTCGGAATGAGCACATCCTCCTGCTTCACAGCCATACTTGAATCCTCCATAACCTACCACAGGAAATCTGCCAATGTTAGGCTATTCATATCAACACTCAGTTCACCTCACTGGCCTTGCCCATATCCTGCAAGTCCTCCAGTAGTTGCATCTTCTGCTTGAGCACTTCCTCCGAGTCAATGATGAAGTAGTACATTCTGAGGGCAAATGTGCCGCCCTTTTGCAGTTTCCAAGGGATCACTTTTTAAATCCAAAGTCGTGCGGCACAACTGTGTAGAAGCGACCGCTGAGGTCCAATAGATGAGACCGACTTGGCTTGGGTTTCCTCAGCTCCTCCTCGATGGCTTGCAACGCCTCATAGCCTGAAGACAGTCCGACAAAGAAAAGAGAAAAAAAGACAAAGAAAGGAAGAAAGAAAGAAGAGAAAAAGAAAGAAAAGAAAAAAAGAAAAAAAGAAAAAAAAGAGAAAAAATAATAGAAAAAAAGGAAGCGTTGTAGCCCTCGTAGAAAAATATGCACATGGTCAACTACGTGTGTTGGTAACAATATGAAAATTCCGAGCAAATTTCGGGAAATTCTGGTTTGTTTCTGCACACTTCTATCCAAATTCGTGCGTAAATTTCCATAATTAGTGAGGAAACTACTACGCTCAGCTGCAGAAAACGACCGAATATTCCAGCACTGTTCTCACCAGCCTTGATCATATCCTCCGAGATTTTCCCCAAGGGCATTTTGTTAACATCCACACCCGAGGCCCTCATATGGTCCACCATCAATTGGCGATCGCATATCATCTTTATCAGACCATACAGCTGCTCATCCAGCTTAGTATCCTCGACCTAACACATACCCACTGTTTAAACGTGTACGACCTCAGAGTCCTCACCTTGACGTCCGCCTTCACTTTCTCCTCCTCTTGCTTCTCCACAGGTCCTCCCGAGAAATCCTGCTTCACATATGTATACCTGATGCCGGCCCTATATAACCGTATGGATATTCCACGACATGAACCGATAAGTCGAAGTCTCACTTGTTATGTCTAGGGCTGAACGGCACCTCACCAGTCGCTACAGCGTGCCAATCGTTCACAGTCTTATCGGAAAATTTCTGCTCAAAGGCATGCTTAGCCGTGCTCAAGTCATCTCCTTTACTGGTCATCTGGCCAGTATAGCCGACCCGCCCCCACCGAAACCACGCTATGTAGTGGCCCGGCGTCTTCACATCTTCTAGTAGTTGCAACTTGAAATACTTATTGTTATTCTGCCGTAAATTCGTCTGGTTGAGCAGAGCATGCCAGACTACACCTTCACTATCGACATACACTCTATACTCATCTGCCTGAGGGCAGTGCTCGTCCACAGGGGGCCTCACTATCGCCTCT